AGAGAGAGAGAGAGAGAGAGAGAGAGAGAGAGAGAGAGAGAGAGAGAGAGAGAGAGAGAGAGAGAGAGAGAGAGAGAGTGTTACATGCTGCGCCTACAAACAAGGGTCATTTTCAGGCCCCATGTCGTTTCAGCCTGAAAGCCCGAAAACAAGTGCCTACAGGCCCTGTGTCGTTTCAGCCTGAAAGCGTGAAAATGAGGGCCTACAGGCCCTGTGTCGTTTCAGCCTAAATCAGGGCCCTCCAGGCCCTGAGTCTTTTCAGCCTGAAACGGAGGGCCATTTTCAGGCCCTCATAAGATCGACCTGCCTTGAAACTTGGGCACCTGACCAGGGTTTTAGCACACGCCATTTTAAGCCTGTTTTCAAGACAACTTTTGTTTGAGCTTCAACGCCAGGGTCTGGCACGTTTTGGCATTGGCAAGAGCAGCCTCCTGGACGGGCCAACACTATATAAGACTGTCCCGCTCTGCAAGCTGCAGGTAGTTCATAGGGACTTCCCAGGCACTTCACGTGCAGGAGGCAGGAGGCAGTCTTCAGGATTCGGCAGCAGCACTCTGGAGGAGCGCTGCAGTAGTAGTAGCGTAGTCTTCAGCGCTGGGCGCTAGTAGGAGCTAGAGTAGCTTTGGAGAGAGAGAGATGGTTGGCGGAGGCCAGGGAGACCTACCTGTGGCGCCATAGCTCCAGCTTCGTCTTCGATGTACCTGCAACAAGGCGCCACCTTCACAGGTTAGTACCGGACTGAGAGATAGAGAGAGAGTTCTTCTTCCTCTTCTAAGTCCACCATCTCTCCCTCACCCTCTCGCTACCTGACTTCTCAGTATCTGCAGACTACGAGAGGGAGAGAGATTGGTGACTTTGGGGCTTGACGACATTTGGATTCAGACTCGACATTGGGATTGAGACATTGAACGAGGGATTATTTGGGACCTGTACCGAAGACTTGGTGTTGATGACATTCCCATCTTCCCCCTCTTCTTCGTCTGATCCCCTCCTCTTCATCTGTGTATGGTCCGGACCTAGCGCATTCTTCCTGTGTGTAGCGCCAGGCCCTTCACACCTTGCAACGATGATGATGTATGTTGGGTCTGCATTGCAACATTGATTGGGTTGATCATTGGTATCCTAGCATTCCGCTGCGCTGTCTTGTACTATGTGAGGGAGGTCGGTCCTTGTTCTGGTTTGCACAATTACGGTATGCAACACTTCAGTATTCCCTCCTCTCACATGGGTGATGTATAATGGGATGCCGTGTCAGTCCCTGTCAAGTCAGGACTTATATCTGAGTCTTCCACTGCGCTACATTGTATCAGGATGAACACTGCTTGTTGAGATTCCACTACCACTGCATTGTCCATTCAGTCCTTTTGATCACAATTGCGGATCCTTGGCTGTACATGCATTGCCCAACTGGGCATCTATCAGTTGGTATCGGAGCACCGCACGTGAATCAGGACGACCTGATCTGACATCTGGACCTAACTGCCAAAATCGAAAAAAAAAAAATTGTTTATGAAAATTCCGATTTTCGTTGTTGTTTTGGTTTAAGGGCGATTGGGAGACCTACTGAACTTGCAAAATTCGGGATTTTTATTAATTTCTCGAAATTTTTTTCTCTGCAAAAGTTTGTTTCTGGGTACCCCGTGCGGCGACATTGGTGAGTTACCATGTCAGCAAGACATGTCAGCCGATAGACGCACCCGGTCAACAGTCGAACAGTGCCACGTCAGCAGTCCGTCGGCCTGGTCTATGCTCACTCGCTTACAAACAGCCGGCATGGATCAGTAGTCCGGGGAAACGACCGAAGCCTATCAGGCCCGGATGCTGGCTTTGATTACCGAAGCCAAGAAACGGGCGGATGAGGTAGCAGCCACCGAGAAGAAGAAGAGGATGTCGAGAAGGCACGTCTGTTGGCAATCAAACAGCGGCGCCAGCAAGACGAGGCAGCAGCAAAGGCTGCCGATGAAGAACGAAATCAACGACGCGAGAAGATATTCAACTGAGAGCGAGCTTTGCTCACAATGGCAGTGGACTGGCGAGCCGAGGCCGAGAATGGTAAGATGGAAGAGAGTGAAAGCAAGATCGCTCTACTCCTCTCCCATTTCACGGATGTCCTGGCAACGTGCATTGCACAGCAGGAGGACATCCACAACCTTGACGAAGTGGTTCAGAAGCACAACCAGGCATTTGATCAAGTCAACTGCCGCCTCTAGCAGCTAGAGCAACAACCCGTCGCCGCCCCCGATGCCAGCTCCTCCAACACCTCCGATCGCCTTAATGCATCGGAGATTGATGTCGGAACCCTTAAGGACAACGCACAACTACAGTAAACCGCCACGCAACAACCGGAGCAGCTTATCTGTGCTGTTGCCGCCACACCGAGTTCGGCACCACGCTAGACGACTCCAAAGTTCGATGGTCAGGAGAGCTTCTGAGATTGGAAGAAGACGGACCCAATTTTGTGGTTCCGCAAGTTCGAGCTCAAGTTGCAGCTACACCACGTCAGCGAGGACAAGCATCACGCGTACTTATACTCCCGGTCGGGGGGCGCGTGCCAAGCATGGTTGGACAATCTCTTGACCAAGTACGGGGTGGTAGCTACCGACTTGTACACCAAGATCAGCTGGGATGATCTAAAGGCGGCGTGGCATAAGCGGTTCCAAGTAGAGCCGCCGGAGATCAAGGCAATGGACAAATTGCTGACCTTCGAACAAGGCACGCTGCCAAGTGTTGACTGGATTGCCGAGTACCAATGCTTGACATCCGTCCCAGACATTCAGATGGGCTTCAAGGCCGTCAAACACTACTTCATCACGAGGTCGTGTCCGGCGTTGGGCAACGCCTTGACTCACGTCGAGGACACCCTAACGACAACAGCGGAGCTTTTTGACAAGGCCGCGAAGATCATTGTCACGAACAAGGAGGCCAAAAACCTCAACCGTTCGTCTGCGACAGGCCCGAGCAGAGATCAACATCGACCGAAAGTGGTCGTGGTCGCGGCGGCAACGCCAAACGACCCTTCTAGTGAGGCCGTGTCTGCCAATGAAGGGGACAGACTCGCGGCCGCCGGGGATGGTGGCCGCCCCGGCAAAGGCTGAGGACGTGGCAAGACGAAGAAAAACACCGCATCTATCCCCGGGTCCGGTGCAGCAGCTCCATCCCCATGGTCCCACTACGGTTTCTCTGAACGTGCGTGCAAGTTACGCACGAGATTCCGCTATTGTCTATGGTGTGACATTGATCTCCACGACACAGTGGGTTGCCCGTTGAAAGGCAAGGGGAAGTCGGGAAACTGAGCACCGCCGGGAGTGAATCGACGACACTCTCAACGCCTTCGAAACCGGTTGCTTCGCGGGTGAATGCCCTTCGTTCCGAGGCACATGCGGAAGTCGATAGTCCTCCTCTTCTATATTCTTACGAGGATTATGCTACCCGACTCGTTCCTATGCTGGGTACTCATGCTCAAGGACAATACGTGTGTGCGGCATCTTCTTCATCCGGCAGCGGCGACTTATCGTCTTCAAGTGGTTCTTCACGGGATTGAGGGCATGAGTTCAACATAGAGGTTTTGGACCCGCTCACGTCGGAGGATTTCGCATGGCTTCCTCTCCCGACCACGGGCCGCTTGCCGGGACCGCAATGCGCAGCATTATGTGATCATCTTCACACGTATCTATCCTGCTATGCACCACCAACTTCGCCGACGGATGACGAAGCTGCGATGGGGGACATCCTTGCGTATGTTACCAAGGTGCCCCGCGAGTTTCGCAAGCAGCGGTACGATGACAACAACGCACCGCTCCTCTGTGTCTCCATCCAAGTTGGGCAAGCGTCCTGCAGCGCTTTGCTGGATAGCGGCGCAACTCGCAATTTCATGAGCCAAGCCTTTATGCAAAGGGATGGTCTTGGCGCACAAGTTCGGAGGAAGGCAAACCCGACGGCGATCAAGTTGGCGGACCGAAGGATGCAACAACTTATCGACCGTTATATCGAGGCCGTACCGGTGTATTTCGCACCTCATGCATGCAAACCGGTGACGTTTCGACATTTTGGACACGGACTTTGATATCATTTTGGGAATGCCCTGGCTTGCAAGTGCGGATCACACGGTTAACTTCCACCGGCGGTTCGGGACGCCTTCGGCACCGAAGTGTCGTGTACTACGCACCCTTCGATTCGGTGCGAAGTGGTGACGACCAAGTCGTTTCGGGCTACTTGCGTTTACGAGCAACCTGACGAGATAGGCCTATGCTTCCTACGGACCGTCGCGGTAGCCGATTCTTCCCCCACAGACTTGTCTTCAGACCCCCGTGTGGTGCGGTTGCTTGACGAGTTTACCGACATCTTCGAGTCACCTACCGGTGTGGTGCCAGATTGGCCGATCTCTCACGAGATCATTCTTGAGGCCGGTGTCGTGCCACCAAAAGGCTGCATTTACCGCACGAGCGAGGAGGAGCTTACGGTCCTCCACGCGCAACTTGATGACTTGTTGGACAAGGGTTGGATCCGCCCTAGTAGCTCCCCATATGGAGCGCCAGTTCTCTTTGTACGGAAGAAGAACAAGGATCTACGATTGTGCATGGACTACCTCAAGCTCAATGCGCAAACCGTCAAGAATGTGGGGCCTCTTCCTCGTATTGACGATCTCCTTGAGCATTTGGGTGGCGCGAAGTAGTTTTCTAAGTTAGATTTGAAATCAGGATACCATCAAATTTCAATCCGGCTAAACGATCGCTATAAATCCGCGTTCAAGACGAGGTATGGGCATTTTGAGTGGGCGGTCATGCCTTTTGGCCTCACCAACGCCCGACAACCTTTCAAGCGGCAATGACCAATGAGTTTCGTGCGATGTTGGATTGGTTCGTGCAAGTCTACTTAGACGACATTCTCGGAGGATCATCTTGAGCATCTTCGACGAGTGTTGGAGACGCTTCGCCGCGCCAAGTACAAAGCCAACCGCGACAAGTGCAAATTTGTCCGGTAAGAGCTGGAATATTTGGGCCATTTTGACACACCGGAGGCCATCAGTTTGTTGTCGGACAAGATTCAAGCCATCCAAGAGTGGCGGGAGCCGCAGAACGTCACGGATGTTCGTTCGTTCCTTTGCCTTGCCGGCTACTACAAACGTTTTATCAAGGGATACTCGAAGATCGCGGCCCACTTGACCAAGCTTCAATGCGAGGATCGACCGTTTGACTTCAGAGAGGATGCGTGGAAATCATTTTTAGCTTTCAAAGCTGCGCTATTATCTGCGGAAGTCTTGCGCATATACGACCCGCTATTGCCAACGCGCGTCACTACGGATGTGTTTGGCGATGGCATTGGTGACGTCCTCGAACAACACGATGGCGTGGACTGGCACCGGGTCAAGTACTTCAGCAAGAAAGTGCCCGTCGTGCATTCCATTGATGATGTACGCAAGGAGCTCTTAGCCTTCGTCCACACTCTCAAGCGGTGGCGGCACTTCCTCCTTGGTCGAAGTCAATTCCGATGGGTAACGGACAACAATCCGTTGGTCTTCTACAAGACCCAAGACATCGTCAATAGCACCATTGCCCGTTGGATGGCCTTCATCAACCAATTCGACTTCTTTCCCGATCACATTCCAGGGAAGTCTAACCGTTTTGCGGATGTTCTTTCACGGCGCCCGGATCATTGTACCGCAGTCTATTCGACCTTCGAGATTGACGACGATCTGCGGGACAGTTTCATCCGCAGCTACCAAGCCAACCCCGAGTTTCATGACAAGTACGCGAATTGCTCCTTTCCTAATCCGGCGTCTTCTCACTACCGGATCCAAGAGGGGTATTTGCTTGTCCACATGCGGGGGAAGGACCTTCTTTGCGTACTGAGTGACTCTCACTTGCGTACACGGCTTCTTGGCGAGTTCCACGATGCTCTCGCCACCGGACACTTTGAGTCAATCGAACGATTGGCCGACTTCATGAGCGCTTTTGGTGGCCCGACCTAATCAGCGATGTCACACGCTATTGCGAGTCATGCGAGGTTTGCCGACGCTGCAAATCCCGCAACCATCGTTCGTACGGCGAGTTGCGACCATTGCGGGTCCCCTTGCACCGGAGGGAAGCGATTGCCATGGACATTACCGGGCCGTTCCCCAAGCACAAGATCGGTGTGGATGGGATTCTCACGGTGGTCGACCGACTCACCAAGTTCGTCATGTTTTTGCCTTGCCGCTATCATGCCAAGGCACCGGAGTTGGCCGAAGTTCTTTACGTCAGTTGGATTCGAACCTAGGGTTACCCCAAGGAAATCGTCTGCGACCGCGACACTCGGTTCATGTCCGATTTTTGTGCATCAAACCGCACAGGTTGTCCTTCGCACTCTCATCTGTCCCGACCAAAAGGATTGGGTTGAGCTGCTGTCGGATGTCGAGTTAGCATATAACTCGTCCATCCACCCAGCTATCGGGATGTCGCCCTTCGAGTTCGAGCACGACTCTTCGGTCACTTCTCCGTTGGACAATCATTCCACGAACGGTCGGATGCAAGAGCTACTTGTCAAGGCACGTGACCAAATGGCTAAGAGGCAGCAACGCATGAGCCAACAGGCCAATCGTCAGCGTCTTCCTTGTCCATTCCGCGTCGGTGATCTCGTTTGGGTTTCCGTCGCGGAGTTCAGCCTCGAACAAGATATCTCTCGCAAGCTCCTCCCGAAATGGATGGGGCTCTGGCCGATCGTGGCACCCGCTGGGGATCCACCCGAAGGACCTTCCTTCACCATTCAGGTGTCCGCCCACTTCCCCGTCTACCCGGTCTTTCATTGCTCCAAGTTGGCTCTTTACACGCTAGAGGAACATGACGATTTTCCTGGGCGATGATCGCAAGACCCTCCCTCTATGGACGATTTTCAAGAGGTCGGCGACATCATCTCCCAGGGACGCTACGGCAACAGGCCGACCGAATACTTGGTACACCTTGCGGACTGCACCCACAAAGCTGACCGTTGGTTGACCCGTGCGGAACTCCAAGCAACAACTCCAGATGTTCTCGCACACTACGAACGCAAGATGCAAGGCAAGCCGGTATCTTCGGCTCCACGTTGCACCCACGTCCAGGTTCCACGTTCAGATCGTTAGCTTCGCCCTCGACCTGAAACAGTATTCACCAGTTCGCAATAGCTGATGGAGATCCCAGGGCTCGATCCCTAGTCCCCACCTTACCTATGTACAGTAGCTGTGTCGACCCGTAGAGTTGAACCCGCAACTTGTGTATTTGTAACAGTTGAAAGATTGTCGTAGGGTCCATAGGTAGCTTGGGTTCGATCTGTAGACATGTCGGATAGGAGTCCCAGTCAGGTCTAGAGGTCGTAACTGTAGCCTTCTCGAAGAGTCAGGGTCGTAGCTGCTACAATCCAGAAGGGTCGAAGTCGTAGCTGCTACAGGACCGAAAGGCCAAGTCTACAGCCTTCCAGAAGGTCTGGGTAGTGGCCTTTCGGAGTGTCCCACGCTTAGACTGAGGCAAGTGGGCAAGTGGCAAGGCAAGTGGTGGAGTCTACCCGTGCTGAGTCAGCAGTCCCAGTCCTAGGCAGTCTGGTCCAGTCAAGCAAGTACCGCATGGGACTGTGTGCACTTCGGGCATGGGAAAGGGGGCAGACCAACGCACTGCAGAAGTATAAATCAAGAGGCAGCGCCCAGCCATTCATTCATTCCTGCGTGAGCCATGCAGAAGCGCTGCCACAGCGACTTGTGCAAGGAGGTCTGCAGTGAGCCCGAAGACGAAGTGGGCTGAGAGACAAAGCTTAGCCATAGCAATAGGGTAGAGGCGGCCATAGCCGCCGTAGCTGTAGTTAGTGTTCAGTGTGTGTGTGTGTGAGTGTTCAGAGAGATGCGTGTGGGATATCCAGGGTGATCCACTGTATGCGAACAGAGAGTTGTATGGGCTCTATATAGCCATAGCCATTGAAAGTGAACTCGTAACTGGGTTGCCATATCTCTGAGTATTGAGTGGGCACATGTCGCCATTTTGCTGCACTACTGTTTGCATGCATGTAAAGTGTGAATGAAAGCAAGTCTGATTGCATTGGTAACGGAGCTGGTACCCGCTGTTCCACGCGCTGCGTTGTGTCGCAGGGAGTGATGCGCCATAGCTGAGGTGGCCGACGAAGAAGAAGTTCGCCATAGCGGACACCGAGGTTGAAGGAGCCGTCGCGCGTACCTGCAGAGAAGGGCACGACGAAGAAGAAGACCGAGAGAGGAAGAGAGAGAGAGAGAGAGGGGGAGAGAGAAAGGTTGAGCGATACAAGATTGGCTTACCACGTTTCTGCGAGCGTTGAAGATATCGCTATGGAGAGAGAGAGAGAGAGAGAGAGAGAGAGAGAGAGAGAGAGAGAGAGAGAGAGAGAGAGAGAGAGAGAGAGAGAGAGAGAGAG